TTCAGTGCAAGTCTAACCCCAGGAAAAAACATTGTCTTGTAAAGGCAAAATCTGCCCTGCATGTAGCTTGCGAACACAGACATATTTCCAGCTGTCACTTGGTTCTGCTGAAAAATAATGTCTGCAAATCGAGCCAGAAAACGATTTCTGTGACGTAGGAATTCTAAGCCAATCACAGTTTAGCTCAAATAAACCCAGGACTACTGCACGAGGTATTTGCTGTGAAGAGCACTCGAGTTTCATTCTATCATGGAATCTGATTGGCCAAGGCGAAACGAAAGTCATTACGTCACAGAAATTGTTTCCTGGCTCGGGTTCGCAGACGTTATTTTCGGTTAAACCAAGTGACAGCCAGAAATACGTCTACATTTGCAGGCTATCCTGCATGCCAATGTGCAACAAAAATAGTATCACAAGATCAGTGGTGTAGTGTAAATATGTGCTGTACAGTGTGTGACCCAGTAATATTATATTTTCAATGGACAGCTGAGATCAATAAATATGACATTATTTATATACAAACAATAATGGTCACAAAGCCACAAAATTGAAATGAGTATTTTGGGAGTTTATATTATTTTATCACTATATTTGTAGGTAGTTTAATATCAATTCATGACTTCATTCACACCTTTGTCATGTTCTCATTTCCTCAAGTACCCACTTTTTACCTTCTTTTCACTTACCGGTCAGCAATACGAAGCTAACATCCTCCTCAACACTAACATTTTTTATGGCATCTAAAGTATTTCCAATAAGAGATGCTGGTGAATCACAGCCAATTCTTCCATACTCAGCAATATACTTTGCTGTATCATTGCTTGCTCCCTGAGATCTGCAAAAGTTACTTCTTGAGATAGTCTTGTTGTAGAATGGATCATAGTGAATATCTGCCAGGTGGACAAACTTCATGATATCATCATTGCTGGGTGTCCGTCCAAGGGTTGGAACACAAGATTTGTCATGTTTACGAGTGCTTTCGTAAGTAATAATCAGGATCACAAGGAGTATGCAGCAGATTGCTGTTAACACTCCTAACATAACTCTTGCTCTGATGACTTTCTTTTGCCATCTAATGTGCAGATCATCTAAAGAGGTACTCACATCATCAATTTCTGACTGCATGTGGTTTTCAGGGTCTGAATCAGACAGACTGCGAGAATACTTCGCAGCCATGGGATCTGAAACTGAATGTTACATTCAATTAATTCACACAAGTATTAATTTATGATGGATAGTACATCTATCACATTCTCATTATTTTATGTTAATTAATTTTAAAATAATTTGTGTGTTTTTAAATGCTGGTTCTTTAATTCAATATACACAACACAAACCCCCACCCACCCTCTGTTGAGGACAATCAAGTCCTCACCCTCCCTCCTTTAGGAGGGTCGTACAGGGGTATTCTCGTGATGCGTGATTAGCTGATTTTATTTTCCGTGAAATGTGAATTTAGGAAATTATTCTTCGTGATCTGTGACCTGAAGGTTTTGAATGACTCGTGAAGAACTTGAATTATTCACCGATATTCGTGATTTCACCACTCTATTCTACATGATTTTGAGACAAAGGTCCTCTGAATGGTTAGAGTTATGTATAGAGAGCGACTTAAGGATGGTGCCTACTAAATACAAAAGTTTTTGCGCCAGGTTAGGATCACATGGAAAAACAAGATCTTTGCAAGTGCTAATGGAATCCACAATTGGAAAAATTAGGGTAGCCACGAATTTTTTCGAGATAATTAGCCTTGAAACTCAACAAAAATGCTGACATCAGCATTTTTCTGAAAACAGAAGGATAGAATATTTCTTCACAGATTTCCTGAGAATTCGCCTTTACATACAGAAGAGCAAACACATTTTTTGGTTTGTTTTTAATAACAGAATCATTGCAATAGCGCATTTAGTGTCTCTGACAGCCTTCCTCTGGTTCAGCTAAAATACAGTCTAAATACCTTTTCCTCACAACCAGAAACTAATGACGCGCTGAATAGGCTTGCCACCTCCATTTCATAAAATAAAATATAGGGGTAACCAACCGTTTTCTTAAGTTATTGACTTTTTTGAAAACTTTTATGGTGCCGTTACATTTTTCCCTGTCACCTCCCCACTAAGTAAAACATTTGCGTATCTCGCACTTGTTTTGCGCATGCACTACGCCATCTGCAGGTACATGTTTACAGTTGGATTTCAATATAATTTTCGACAGGTAACAGCCAGCTTTTCAGCTGGAAGACGTTAACAGTTAGTGGTTAGTGATATGCTGCTATTCTGGTATTCCTGGTTTAAGCACAGGTTCATTAAACTTGATTTGGTCACAGTAGGAAAATTTTTACTTTCATTTCAGTCGTGTACTTGGTAACATAGTTGATTGCGTCAATGTCGACCCCAGCGTGTGCATGACGCTTAAACCAAGTCTTATGTGATGCACAGAACGTGTGCCCACTAACAAAAGTAGGCACTGTCCGCAACATGCGATTTGCAATATGGAGCCGTGACTTAGCCTTTCACGATTTTTCTTTCTTCAAACACTCTTTCTAGTGTAAGAACAGGTTATCAAAAAGAGTATCTTACTTGCTTATATTCGTGATTTGAGAAAACGAAATTTTTATATCCGTGATCTGTGATCCTCAATTTTTTCCATTCGTGAACCCTACCATAGACTTCCCCCCCTCCTCGTACAACCCTCCTTTAAGAATTCCAGTGATCTTCTTCCTCATTCCCCCAAAGACTTCCTGAATTAAAACTGAAGATGAACCCATCTGAAACACTTCCTTAATTTTCACTCAGATCTCTGAAGAATTCTATTTAACAAATAGATTTCATGTTGCCGTGCGTCTGTTCAGTAATAGATCACAGATGACGTCAAAATATGGTAAGAACAAAAAAGTGGCACACAAG